CATACCACACTGACTGCCAGCTTCCTGACAACTGCATGAAAATAACTAAAATGAGGATATTTTGTCCCCAAACTGCAACTGACTCATAGTCGTGTGAGGAGTGTGAAAACATTTCAGAGCTCAAAATACCCCTTCGAGTTCAGCGAGGTCACATTGACATCAGAAATTGGCCTCAGATTATATAAACGATGCCAAGGAAAACTACGTTCACTCTTCAGCGTCCCCTTCGTGGTCCATTCCACTCTGGAAACATCTCAACAGCTGTCTGCCTGCCTGGCAAGATAATCTGGCGTTGGGTGATTGTTACGTTTCATCTCACTTCTTATAGTGGCGGAGGACACCCAAATATATTAGAGGCAGCGATGCAACTCCTCAAAGCTCGAAAATTAGAGCTGTTATCCTATGAACACAAAACAACGCAACTTTGCCCGCGCAAATTTTTGCAAGCACCGTGTCAAGAATCACAAATTCCATCACAAAGTCAAGCATTCAAAACTTGGGTGCTTGACGTCGACGAAACTGCTGGCTTTGAGTTTAGAGGCATGACCTTAGTCTGGGTTTGGGTCTAGAGCCGACCTAGTGGATTTGCAGTTTCAATATCCGTTAGTAATCCAAATAGTAAGACGGAACTGTCACGCTAGTCAGGACTGATGACGAATCTGAGCCGAGGCGCACACCATGCCAGGGCGCGATCTGGCAGTATAGTGATGGATTGCCGGGCGGACCGCACATTTACCGATGACCGAGGCTGCAGTCCCTGATCTACGAGCATAGGACGTCCATAACTCAGCTAGAAATAAACGGTCAATCAACTTACAGCAGACCCATCACTATCCCGATTTACACACCGCCTGCAAACTCCAAACGGTCAAGCAGTGCAGCATATGGCGTCCAGACTGCCCAGCAGCTCGAACCAGCCCTGTTACAGCGGCCAGTGGCTGCCGTGCACCAGTGCCGCGGTGACCTGGCACGGGCGCGGCCCGCACACCGGCCCACCGACCTCGTTGCGCCTTTGTTCCTCGCGTCGGCTGTGCTGACACCGTTTCAGAGTGGAAGCCAGTCACGACAGATACAACAGTCGCCTGTGTGCTGCCCGGTGGACGATACGGCCACCGAAACATAACGGCAGCGCCGCTATCAGCCGAGAAAACATGTCATTATCGACCACTTCCAAGTCTCAGACTCTGAAGCTAAAAAGAAAAAAGAAAAAAACACAAGATATAAAAATTATTGTGACCTGACAATGCATAATGAAAACAGATTTATTTGACTTCACTTAACATTCCCAAGGTCTGACAAGCTTATATCTAAACCTTTCCAAAACATCCCTGACGCCTTTCCCAGTTGAATTACCACAGCGCTATTGGCACATGGCTGGTTTTCTCTCCAGACCGCCATTGTATGCCAGTCCGGATCATCGCACGGACGGGCCGCGCGCCAGTTTAGGGCGAATTTAATCAAGAAAGTGACTTTCGAAAATCTGCTTGAAATATGGCTGAATGTATAGGAAATTGCCTGAATTTTAAGAAACCACCTGAATTTTGCACATATGGCAACTTTTAGGAGGTGATTTGACTACTCAAAGTGGACAGATTGTTGGCTTTCTCATATCCTGCCGATTTGCGGGCAAGAACGCGACTTTTGTAACGCAAGTTTACATAGTGTAATACATATTGAATTGATATAAATCATACACCATTGTTCTTCCCAATGTCTCTAAAAAACGATAGGATAACTTGCAATACTGGCTGACCTATCGTCTGCACGTTACGACTGATAGAATCAAACCAATACATGCATGCGTTTTCATAACGATGTTTCATGAAAACCGAAGATTTCAACAACTACCGCCGTTTGCCGCCACGTCAGATCTAGCATGATTGCAATTTGCCAGCATTTTTTGACTTGGCCCGACCTTTTTTTCCTGCTCGAACTTGCTCGCCTCACCGGTAGCTCGAGTTTAAACATGACCGACGGCACGCCGCTCGGTCATGACCCAGCCGCGCGCCGTGACCTGACCTGGGGGCGGACGGTGCGTGACCCGACAGGATCCGGAATGACGTGTGGTTTTTAGTCCCGCCCATTGAGTGATGTCACTGTCTACAGCAGCCAATCATCGAGCCTGTTATTATGGGTCAGGATGTGTGTCAGCTAGTCATTGGGTGGCAAATGTATCGTAACCTATTTCGAGAGTATGAAATAAGTCCTCTTTGGCCACGATGATTTCGATTATTGGTACCTGATCATTCCTGCCCCGTACTGCTGCTTTCCGTACACCCGGCTGAGGTGCAGGAGGCCTTCAGGACCAGGATGGGGCTGCGCGTGGACGAGCCGCGGGCAGGAGGCAGCGGCAACTCCAACGACGGCAACACCGCCCGCCGCGCCTTCCGCTCGCCGGCCGAGTTCGCGGCCTGCACCGGCGTCGACCAGGAGCTGATCGACCGGGTCGGCACGGTGCTGCAGGCTGTCAGCTGTCCGCACCGACTGGACATCGACGCTCTCTCCGCGTACTGCCGCCGCACGGCTGAGCTGTACGTGGAGAGGTACATGTCCACCACGCTGCACAAGCTGCTGAGCCACTCCGCGGCCGTGGTGGAGTCTTGCCACCTCCCGATCGGTATGATGTCTGAGGAAGCAGCAGAGGCTACCCACAAGCGACTCTTCGACACACCCGCAAGGATTCGAGGATCCACACGATGTCGGACCTCCTGGGCTACCTGCTCGTGGCGAGCGACCCGCTGCTCAGCAGCCTGGGTCTGCAGCGCCGGGGGAGGGGGAGGGGGAGGGAGAGGGAGAGGGAGAGGGAGAGGGAGAGGGAGAGGGAGAGGGAGAGGGAGAGGGAGAGGGAGAGGGAGAGGGAGAGGGAGAGGGAGAGGGAGAGGGAGAGGGAGAGGGAGAGGGAGAGGGAGAGGGAGAGAGAGAGGAGAGAGAGAGAGAGAGAGAGAGAGAGAGAGAGAGAGAGAGAGAGATGAGAGAGAGAGAGAGAGAGAGAGAGAGAGAGAGAGAGAGAGAGAATCAGCTACGTCGTGACGACGGCACCGACAGCAGTGCTGTCGACAGCGACGACTGCCACAGCAGCAGTGACTGTTCAGCAGTGACAGTAGTGACTGGCAGAGTCGAACCAGCGCGGCGTGTCGTGAGAGTGTTCAAAGTGTATGTATGTAACATGTGATGCAATACATATGTATCGTGTGTTTATGCTTTTTCGATTATCGAATATATCGAAAGCATCAGGGATGACCCAAAATGCCTAAATATACCCATTTAAACCATTTGAAAAACATATTGAGAAATATTAACAACGCTACGAATAAATTCGCCCTAAACTGGTCAACAACAACAAACTGGTCCACTGTGCATCGGCGAAGATCGACAAAATATGACACAAACCCAGCTCTCACTGGATGCCTACCTATGGTTCGTTATGTGCATTTGTCCGGTCCATTGAATAGCCCGTCAGAATTAAGCTGCCATAGACTCATGCCATTTTAAGGCATGGGCAATCTGGACAATAGACATACAAATACATGAACTGCTATATCGACACCTTTTTTAAACCCCACATTTGTTCTCCCGTGAAGTTCAGACAAGTTGTTTAGAAACCTTCAAAAAAGGTACAGTCACTCGATTTTTCTCAAGTTTGTCTGGCTTGGCAGATCAAGCAATGCCAGAGCAAGCTTACGAACACACAAATTTGATCAGGATCGGACGATTGGACACTTCTAAAAAGAGATCTTTCGTGCTTCCCGGAAATTCACCGAACAGATGTGGGGTTTAAAAAAAGGTGTCGATATATCAAGTAAGGGTAAGCAAATACACGGCCGGCAGTCGCCTGTTCAGGAAAAAATGACTAGCAATAATTTTATTGACGTGGAAACTCAAAACCGAAGCACATTAATGTAACTGTCCTTAGATCTTTGATGAACAGCTCGTAGCTTTTTTCGCAGCATAGTTTGCTTGAATAACATTTTACGTAAAACAATAAATGGGAAATCGTGCGCGAGCCATAGGCTCTTTCTCGACACTTATCGATTTATGGTTATTGGTTGAACATTAGTATTGCAAGCTGAGCATTTTGTCAACGTTCCACGCCTCCAATCACAGTACCTACATATTTAGATAAACACGCCTGTTCAGGCCAAATCAGCATTACTGGTAACGTGCACCGAATGAAATTCTCGAATTTGCGGCAGCTCTCTATGTTCAGTATGGAAATCAGAGAAATAAGCGTTAAATAAAATAGGTCCCGTAATGTATGGCATATGCTATTCTCTATTAGCACTGTAGCTAGCATATGCAGCTTCAAGCGACGCACAGCAAACATACTGAATTACTGATCACTATACGCTTATCCACCAATTTCAACGGCGAGAAGTGTATAAAATAGGTACAGTCGTACTGCGGAGTTACATTCTAAAATCCTGAACAGAACGGCCGAGGCCCAACCGTGGTATTCGCCAGCCGCTCCGCTTCGGGGCAGGTTACAGCTGAGGAGACGACCCCGCACGAGTGGCACCACAGCCGGCCGTGACGTCATACACTGACGTCACCTGGATTCCCGATTTGGCCCGACCGCAGCGCACGAGCTGCCATCGTATGACGTCAGAACCCAGCGTATACGCTAGTCGGGCGACGGAGGCGGAAGTGCGTCAATAATCGACGTCCGGGTCATTACGGGGTACACCTGACAAAAACGTACTAGAAATCCGATCACCAGAAGACTAGTGCGTACGCAAAACAAAGTACCTGAAAGAATACGACGGCACCTCCCTGGCTTCAGTCATTGAGTGTGAAGGCCAGCACAGATAGTTTCATCGGTAGTCTGTCTACGTCTCAGCAACAAAATATTCAGCACTGTGCACGCCTCCGCCTACGCTCGATATCCCGGGTTAAATTCATTTCGTTATGATATGGCTGCTGAACAATGAACCAAAAACCTATCAATTTAAAAGCCAAAGTTCAACCCAACCACGGACCAGTTAACTCCAAAGTCGTCTAGCTAGCCTCTTTCATATTTTATTTTACAACACAAGACTTTGGGCACGCATGATAATCAAGCGTTACCTTTAGCTTAATGACATTCTTCTTCAATGTGACTAGTTGATGTGACAATGTCCTAACGAATAGTGGCGTACCAATAAAACGTTAATGATGTGACTGTTCTGTATTTTACGTGGCAAAATTCAGATTCATCTCAAGGTACGACACGAAGCATCTTGGGTTTTGGTGGACGGAGGTCGTGCATGTACCCCATTTCGCAGTCAGATGGTCAAAAGTGAGCGCTCTCACTGTTCGGCGCCCTCCTCTTCCTCCTCCTCGTCGAACTCTCCCTCTTCCTCGGCAGTGGCGTCCTGATACTGCTGGTACTCGGACACCAAGTCGTTCATGTTGCTCTCGGCCTCGGTGAACTCCATCTCGTCCATACCCTCGCCGGTGTACCAATGGAGGAAGGCCTTCCGCCGGAACATGGCAGTGAACTGCTCGGACACTCGCTTGAAGAGCTCCTGGATAGCGGTGCTGTTGCCAATGAATGTGGCAGACATTTTCAGACCGCGCGGGGGAATATCACACACAGCCGTTTTAACATTGTTCGGGATCCACTCGACAAAGTAGCTGCTGTTCTTGTTCTGGATGTTCAACATCTGCTCATCCACCTCCTTCATCGACATCCTACCACGGAAGATGGCGGCGACAGTGAGGTACCTGCCGTGACGGGGGTCGCACGCAGCCATCATGTTCTTGGCATCGAACATCTGCTGTGTCAGCTCCGGGACGGTCAGTGCTCTGTACTGCTGGCTACCGCGTGAGGTCAGGGGCGCGAACCCGGGCATGAAGAAGTGCAAACGGGGGAAGGGCACCATGTTCACGGCCAGTTTCCGCAAGTCGGCATTCAACTGACCGGGGAAACGCAGGCAGGTGGTGACGCCGGACATGGTTGCCGAGACCAGGTGGTTCAGGTCGCCGTACGTCGGCGTCGTCAGCTTCAGCGTCCGGAAGCAGATGTCGTACAGGGCCTCGTTGTCGATGCAGTACGTTTCGTCCGTGTTCTCTACCAGCTGATGGACAGACAGCGTAGCGTTGTACGGCTCCACCACCGTATCAGACACCTGAAACACAAATAGCATAAAATCATTTGAGTACATACACAAGCTGCACTGAATTACTCGAAGTGGCTATGTGACAAATAGTTATTCGACAATCTTTGTTTAAATGCATTTTAAGTACATCTGCAAAGCAAGTATATTCAAGTGCGTTGGCGAATGAATAAATTAGGTCGATGTATGTACCCCGCAATGACGAATGAACGGGAGGAGACGGGGGTGTCCAATCATACAACTAGGCCTTATACTCGTATGGTAGAAGTTTGTCTCCATTCAACTTGCCTTTGGAGAGGGCACGACGCTGAAGGTGTTCATGATTCGGTCTGGGTATTCTTCACGGATCTTGGAGATGAGCAGAGTTCCCATTCCGGATCCAGTTCCACCGCCCAAGGAGTGTGTCAGCTGGAAACCCTGCAGGCAGTCACAGCTTTCCGCTTCTTTGCGAACCACGTCGAGCACCGAATCGACCAGCTCTGCGCCCTCTGTGTAGTGACCTTTCGCCCAGTTGTTACCTGTAAACAGAAACGTAACAGTCAACTAGGGAAGTGGTCTACGAGTGACGGAGCATGCAAGGCACGATGCTGGCCAGCCAGTTACCCCGTATGCTAAGGAATCAAGTAGATTGCAAATCAAGACGTAAGACGATAGCTTGAGAATTGAGTAACATACCGGCGAACGAATTTACCGTCCAAAACACCAAAAATAAGTTTAAGCTTAGCTTGCTTGTTATTCTACAAAAATGACGATTGCAGCTTAGCTATAACAACTTACAAGTAAAGAGCGACATTCCCGGAACGACTGACCGGAAAACAACTCAAAGCGCCGGTAGAGTTGGATAACACGTTAAAAACAAAATGATAAAACGCGATAGCGTACCTGCACCACTCTGGCCGAAGACGAAATTATCTGGTCGGAAAATCTGTCCAAATGGGCCGGCACGGACGGAATCCATTGTACCTGGTTCCAAATCCACCAAGATAGCCCGCGGTACATACTTGCCACCTGATGGAAGACAAAGCGTAAAACGTCAGACAGCACTACTCTTACAAATCGAGCGCTTCAATCATCGCTATTTTGCGGCGTAACTAAAATCAATGCAGAATGCCCGAGCGCAGAAGAAAACGCATAAGCAAAAATGACATGAGGCTGGCTAAACGTTTCAAATTGCGCTTTACAATTACCGCAAACCTTAAAATTACCCTCACGATGACCCCAGTTCGCTTTAAGACATTGCCACTTTTTCATACAGCCCCTCTGTCGTTTTAATGCAGAACATCAGCAAATCAAACATCAATGAAACTTATTAATATAAATTATTGAGATTAGGTATATTGAAATAAGTGCTTAGTACGGGAAAATTTCCTCACCGGACGCCTCATTGTAGTAGACGTTTATCCTCTCCAGCTGTAGGTCTGAGTCACCGTGGTATGTTCCCGTCGGATCAATACCATGCTCGTCTGAGATCACCTCCCAGAACTGAAACAAAATTAACGCTTTTGGGAGGACATTTATAAATGGTGCTGCCTCCCAACCTTCTAACCACTAATCTTCTGCACTCTTCTAATCAATTCTAACTGTTAAACAAATCCTATCCTCACCTTTAGCCCTATGCAGCGCCATTTATTGATTCACGTTTCACTCAATCTCCCGATGCTGATCTCAAATGCTTCTTTCGTTGATGATTAAATATATGTACCACCGGTGGACTCCGGGGAAAACAACAACAACAACATTCACCTCGCGAATAGGAATTGTCGTCTACGAGTAGATGGATGCAGGCAAGTAGCGTGGAAGAAAAGGGCACAATAAAGCTTTAGCTTTGACATTACATTAACTTTTCACTTTCTCCATGCACCGAGATTGGACCTAAAACGTCTAATCATTTCAACCGGCCACTTGTTACGCATAACAGCAGACAATCCAGCAGTATCAATCCAGATTGAGTTCGCTTACGACTCAACACTTTTCTATGCTAGATAATTGGCTCAAAATTCAGCCACAAGAGAAATATAAGGGAAATAGCGACACAAGCACCGAATTCTTAGCGACCCCATGGTCACAACGAAATTGAAATCAGCCGCTAAATGAGTCGAGCTTTACAAAAAGAACGTACTCACCTTGGCTCCGATTTGGTTGCCGCACTGGCCAGCCTGCATATGAACAATCTCTCTCATTATTGCCGCGTGTACTTTCAAAAAATCAAAAGAAACAACCACTGCACCAACCCCTCACAACACACAACACAGAATTTCGTCTCGAATATTCGAATTTGTCACGCGGGAATAAAGACGCGCTAAGAACGGCGTAAGAAATATGTTTTCATCTTACGGCTCTAAGCAGAATACTTTTGTAAGAATTATTTTGTTTCAAACGATAGCTTTTTCACATTTTCAAGCACGAATTCTAATTTGAAGCCTAACTACACCAATTTTTAACACTGAAATGCTAAAACTTTGCTTTAAAATAGCATCAAAATTAAACTATATGTCTACACTTCCCGCTGCTTGGACTACTTTTCCAAGTGAGCTCCGTATTTCACAACCCATTTTATAGCAATATTACTTGCAAATAAACTAGTAAAATTTGGAACGTTTTTAACTGAAATACTCGCCCTTCATATTAACAACTTTGGAACATCGTTGAACTCCAATGTTTAACCAGTTGGACCTAGCAAAGCTCAGGATCTCCGTAAGGTGCTGCCACCTCTCATATACTTTAGGGCGACATCTAGGAAATTGAACTTTTCCATGCTTTGGTCGCTTTGGTCATAAATCTCCAGGTGGGGATTGCAACAACTTATATGACCTCGATTGCAACCATGTTGATCCGCGGGAAAAGTACGCATCGCAAAAGTACGTAGGGATTGCAATCATGTTCCAGCGACCAGTAGTTTTGACGCGATGCCTGAACTCTCACCTCCGGTCTCCAGTCCACTCCAGTCTCCACTCGAGTGGGATGGGATGCACCTGTCCGAACCTGACAGTAGGTCGCCCTATCATCTGACCTGACAGATGTCGGTCTAACTGCTGGGTGGTTGGTTCGATTGCTGTTCGAGGAACTCATCATCGCTCCTATGATGCCTCTGTTCCTTCCTCAGGACGCACAGATACTCAAGTCTAAATAAATCCCTGATCCGAGTTCGACAGTCATCTTCATCCAAAGTGAGTCGCTCCTCAGGAGCAGGCCCATCGTGCGGTGGGATGACCTTTCACGGGGCTGGGTAGCCCGTCCATAGAGACGGGCTCAGCCCCGACGATAATGGCAGTCCAGACCAATGTCCCTCCCTAATTCCTAGTCATTTCGACTCCGCAAGGCATCTTAATACAGACTGAAAGGCTGGAGCCAAGCAAACGAGAGCACTACGACCAAACTTTCGCGCATTGTGTGGCAATTGACAATAACATATTTGGTGCACAATGTGCGACATGTTCATAATTACTTCAAAGCATAATTATTTCTCACTGGCTTACCCAATAACTAAAAATGTAATACAAGAAAATGTGCATTATGTATTATACACGAATGAATTTCTAATGAAACATCCGTACGAAGATGAGCAATACAGGACGTACAATGCAATATCTTCACGATCCATCTGCTTCATCCATCAGATAATCAACGGCGAGCATGAGATACAGCATCCAACACGTCCCGCATTCCGTCTGCATGCACGTCAATGACGTAAAACAATCATCTAACCCAGAAACACGGGTGTTTTACTGGAATTTTACACCTATTCAGCTAGTGTGCAGTGTTTTCCGGTCACCCAGATCGGTATCAGGACCCAAACGCTTGTAAAACTGCAGTTAAACTCCACCGAAGGGAAATATTACCGAGCGAGATCAAAACGAACTTACAATTCGTGTGTCCAGTACACATCATAGTAGCCCTCGTCCCGATTCACGACACAGTCATCCCCAACGCAAAACACCGCTAACAGCTCGACTCTCACAGTCCAGCCCAATCGGCGCTCAGAGTTTGCGCTTGCGCGGCATTTTTGGCGGCCTCAGGAAGGGATTGTCGATACCCTCCGGCTGCTGTGGCGGCGGCTCGCGCGCGCTGCTCTCCTGCTCTGCCCCGTCCTGCGGCGAGCTCTTTCTCTTGCGCGGCACGTAGGCCTCCTCCTCCTCGAAGATCTGGTCGCGAGGGTCCAGCGCTTGGAGGTAGGGGTTGACGATCGACCGACAGGCGATCACTGCGAACGGCGGAACAGGGGGCGCCACCGGCGGGAGACGCGTCAGCGAGGGCCACACGGACGTGATCAGCTGGGCCGATCACGCCCGGTAAGAGCACGGGATCAGTACGAGCACGAATCATGAAAATCATCTATTGTTCGAGAATAGCTTGAGTTGTCTGCTAAACAAGGATAAAGCACAAACACGAGTAAGCAAAGACTAGCGAGCAACGATTTATCTAAATCCGAGATCCGTTGGAAAAAAAAACGGACTAAAGAGAGATAGCAACTAACTTCAAACACATCATATAACAAAGTCTAAATCACCGCATCACCTTGGATTGCAGCAACTGCATTAAAAAACTGCCCACCCAGCCCTCAACCCTTCAACAGCCCACCGGATCACTCACGCGGGAACTGGGCCTGCTCGTCTGAGTCAAACAGTTTATCGACGGGGCCCGTTTTGGCGATGAACCGGGTGAGCGCCCGCTCCATATCCCGCTTCTGGCTGGCGGCCCGCTCTCGAACGGCCTCATAGTTGGTGATGGGCTGCTTGTGGGTGGGCGTCTGCACGTAGGCGTGGCTATCGGGGAAGGCGGGCAGGTGGTCGGGGATGTGGGCCGGGTGGTTCTGCTTCTCCCCGACCTGCAGCGTCGGCGGCTGCTTGGTCGGCGCCGACGGCAGCGGCGTAGGCAGCGTCGGACGATGACGACGCTTGGCGAACTCCTGGGAGAGACGGAAGTGCGCGGTCAGGAGTTTATGGTGCACGGCTCAAATGTCGAGTCTGACTGCCGACGGAAGTATATGTACGTGAGACATTAAGTACAAATTAGCCTAAATTGATATATTTTTTACGTTTTTATTGGGGCTTTCGGGCGCGCCGACTACTAAGGTCATTTTGCGCCCGTTGCGCCCGCAGAATATGTGCGAAACACTGTTGCTAGCACGAGACACCTCACCATTTTACGATAAGTACGAGCGTCGAGTTCCACGAAGCACGGTACTAATTGTCTAGCATCCGTTACCGTACACAAGCCAACTACTATCAGCTGCACCATCAGCAGCAGACAGCATCATACCGTGATCGAGGCGACGTTGAAGCCGTTGTCGACCAGCGCCATAACCACGTCGCCGACGACGAGGTCGCTGCGGCAGGCCAGGTCGCTGTACGCCTTGCTGCTCCGGCCCAGCTCCTTCAGCACTGAAACACACCGGCAGGCAGCGGTAAAATTCGCAGACCAAAAGCAATGCTGGGGGGGGGGGGGGGGGTCGATATGCTTACTAGCTTGTTGTGCAACCCGATAGACCAAATACCTGATAACGTCTGTTCCCGATAAACCAGTGTAAAGTGTGTTCAATGTTTAACAAATGGCTAGTGCGATATGCATGTATAATAGTTAAACGGTTCTCTCCTGACTAGTCAAGAACTTTCTTGCGGGCCAAAAACTTGACTGGTTCCAAGTCCGATGATGTTTAACTCGGTTCACTCACCACTGATGAAGCTTTCTGTGAGTGAGGAGAGTGCTGCCGGCTCGATACTGGTAAATCCCGCCTGCTGACAAACTGATGAGACTGCCATCGCCATGACCCTTCTCCAGGGTGTTGCTGGCAGGGTGCCGTCAGCCTCCATCACTGGATGAGTTGCTCAGTGCAGACTGCACGCTGGTGGTGAACTGTAGGCAAGACAGAAATCCATCAGAACAATAACAGTACATAGGAATAACAGTGGAATAACAATAACAGTGTATAGGATACGTCAAAAGTATTGATACCTTCCGTCTATCCGATATAACTTGGAATATTTCCAATATGGTTCCAAACATCGCGTTGCTGAGAACGTCCTTGCGTTCCTGCATCCTTCCCTGAGGCGTACCAAGATTAGCTGAGCAGCTATTTTGACCCAGAGGGTAACTAGCCTGGGTCATCACTTACCTAGTGATCGAAGCATGAACTACGGCCCAGACATGAGGATCCAATTTTTCAGTTAAGAGGTGCGTAGTCGCGCTATTGGCATGCCTTATCGTGGCAACTCACAGAATGACGTTGCCTGACACTTAACCCTCGCCCGTATTGGTGTTTTTCCAGCCGCGAGCGTATAAGGGGGGGGGGGGTCCGTTGGACCCCCCCCCCTTGCCGTTTCGCCCCTGATCGAGCTAGAGCTTCGGGGAAAAAACGAGCGTGTTGCCCGTGACGAGAGGAAGCCGATGATACCTAATTTTTTGGTCTTAGGTCATTGGTTGACCTTGCAGGTCAGGTCAATGACCCAAAAGTCGGGAAAATCGGGACCTGTTAGAACGTCGTAAAGTGTGGCTGCTACGGGGTTTTTCGGGGTGCTGATCACGAATATCATGTTAGTTTTGATCACAGATGATGTCTTCATGCATTTAGTCCAGGTCGGGTCAGGTCAGGTCAGGTCAACCAGTAGGGGTCCTGCCGGGTATTCCTAGTAGGTGTCTGCCGCCTCTGACAGCTTCGTAACATGTTACGAAGGCACCAAAACTACTTCGCAAATGTTCAAATGGTTGCTAAATTCGAATTCAGCTGCAAAAACTGGCCTAGAAACATGTAAAACTCGAAAAAGTGAACCGAGGTCATCAAAGGTCAATGACCTGACCTGACCTTCAGGTGACCTTGACACCCACCCTAACGCATGGGGGCAACATCATATCACATGTTTGAACGCTTGAAACCACGAAAAGACTGCAAACGCGCGGCTAATGCGAGCCGACATACGCCGAATCGCGATTCCGGCCAAACATGGTCACGAAAAGTAGGTCACAGGTTAAAGGTCATTGGGGTCAGGGTCATGAAATTTTCAGAGTAGGTGTAAAATTGATTAACGCGAGGGTAGGTACTGAAAGTTTCGTCGCGATCGGCCGCTTTTTACGCGAGATATTCGCGAAAAACCATGGGGGGGGGGTCCGTTCGACCCCCCCCCCCCTATACGGGCGAGGGTTAAGGATGCCAGTCCTCACTATCAAGCGCTGGTGGAAGAAGTTTAAGGAGACGGGGGGGGGCGTCATAGGAAGACCCCAACCTCGGTGGCCCTTCTGCATTTCAACCTGGAGAGAAAGCACCTGGAAATTCCGAGCACTCTGCAAAAAAGCTGGGTAAAATTCCAACTCAAATGGATCATCTGGAGTCCGGGACGATTGTCCGGCGATACTGGTGGGACAAACTTCTACTGAAGGCCCACAAGGCTCATGTAAGGCCAAAATTGGCGGAAAATCAGTGATTCCAGAGCCTTAAATTTTGCAAGAAAGGCAAGAACAGGATGGTGGAAGAGTGGAACTGAGTAGAAACGGGCCATCATTAGAGACAAGTCTCTATTCCACCTGTTTTACCAACAAACCACCAGATAAAGCGAGCATGGGTTGAAAACATGATTAAGGTTCCGAAAACTGTATCGTGAAATTCTGGTTTCATTTGATGCCATAGCGCAGGATTTCCTATCAGGGCCTGGGCTAGCTGCATGCGATTCCGTTGGAAATGGTGATCGATGCTGACTACTATACAGAATATCCTGAAGAAAGCCTGTCTACCTGCCATCAACAGGATGACCACCATGGGTTCCGTTCTTCAGCGGTGCATGGTGCCAACTGCCACACAGGTCGGATAACATTTTCCAGGAAGACAATGCTTCTTCTCATTGGTCTCCCTGATCTTAGAGATGGTGCCAGGCGCCAGCAGCATCTTCCTACTATCTGGGCGAATGATACAAGGCTAGGGAACAAACCCAAGCTAAATGCAATCAAATTGCTATGGGGAATTTGTTGCTATGGGGAATTTGTTGCTATGGGGAATTTGATCGAATTGCTATGGGCTGGTCCCGTAGCTCAGTTGGTAGAGCGTTGGACTCCATGTGGTGAGAGCACGTGTTCCCGGTTATAAAAGACCGGGTTCGAAGCGTGACGGGCGCTTGACATTTATGGGCCTCCTGACAGGTATGGTTGCAGTTGGTGGCAGGCCGTAGCCAGGCGAAGTCAGTGAGGGCCGAGGAGACCGGCCATGTGCAGCTATGTGCACACGTTTAACTTTGTACTCTAAATTCTGTCATAGAACTGGAATAGCGCGATCAGAGGGTAGGGGGCAGGGTCACCACAACCAGCTTCGTTTAGCGGTGGCTCTGTCCTTGTGAATCATTCCTAGCAAAATGTTTGGACTAAATCTATTAGAAAAAAATTGTGCAGCAGGAGCTTAACCAGACAAAACCTCCCAGCAACCCCACACAGCTCAAATAGGCAGTCAAGAGGACAGGGGCAGATCCAGCCGATCCGTTTGGGGAGGGCAAAAGTTTCCGACCTATCCGACGACCCCTATCCGCCCCCGCACTGGGAGGAATGTAAGATAAATTTTGGATGGGGATGCAAAATTTTCTCAAGGGGCCCCACTGAAGGTTTTGGGCCCCTTTACTTTTTCAAGCTGTCAATCATCGATTTATGAAAACCAAAAGTTAAGGAAACAATCCATACAGGAAGTTATCCAAAATGTTTGTATATTTCAGTGAACCTAACAAAATCACAGCATACCTAAATAAGTGAAATGCAACAAGTTTTTTTTTACTGGGTGATTTTTCTTATGCTAACCACCACCCGCAAGCCTCAAACTACTTTTCTGGATCCGCAGTGGACCTTTGAGAGCCCTACGGGTCCACTCTTACAAGACCGTTAAAAACCCTCTGGAAACTTAATGACTCAATGGAGGCTCCTCCAGAAGCCTTCACGACTTCTCAGATTGAATGAGTCCCCGACCAGGGTCGGTTCCTCAGAAGGTGCTGAAGGGTTTCAGAAAGCGTAGGCTCGAGAGTCTGGAAAGCTCTCAAAGACCGGCATCGGACCCAAAAAGCCTGTATGGAGGCCCTCAAAAACCGGGATAGAGGCCAAAGGAGCTGATGTTTAGCCTAAAGAACCGGTGTGGAGGAAAGGGTAGAAGTCTGAGTGGGGCCTTCAGGGGCAAACGTTAGGGCCCCAAAAGTATGTGTGAGGCTCTTGGAGGCAGGTAGGTCCCTGGAGCGTGCAGCATGGGGTCCCAAGAGCTCGCGTGTGAGCCCAAAATTCGGCTTCATGTCCGTGGAACATGCATGGGGATTCTTAGAAGCCGCTTGGACACATATTTGATGGGTCGTGGGTACCAAGATCGATGTAATGGTCATAAAACCCGGTGTAGGGCCAAGAAGTTCCGGTGTTGAGACTCTCAGAGGCCGGCGAAGGGGCACCAGGAGCGGATACAGTGTCTCAACAAGCCTACATGGGACCTGACAATCAGTGTGGAATCCCACGAGCCTGCGTAAGCCCTCAGATACCTTTGTAAGGCCCTCAAAGGTCGTTGTGAAGGGCCTCTGAATCTGAAATCTTCGCGGGGCCCCGAGGCCAGCATGTCCCCTGCCTGCGTTAAGGCCCTCCAGAGGCCGTCGTAGGGTTCTTCATAGACCAGCGTGGGCCCTTGGAGCCTTCGTTACAGGACTCTCAGAGGTCAGCATGACCCCTGCAGTCTGCCTGCGTTGAGGCCAGATCAGAGCCCGTCGTGAGGCCCTCAGACGCCAGCGTGGGCATTTGAAGCTTGCATTGGGTCCTAGAGGTCGTCGTGAGGGCCCATAGATGAAAGAGGTCGTCGTGAGGGCCCTCAGGGACCGTCTCGGGTGGAATCGCTGTGGAAATCGTTGTGAGGACCCTTAGAAGCCTTCAAGAGGACCAGCAGAGGTCATCATGAAGATCCTTGGCCATCATGACGGTCTTCATAGGCCCTGGGCCCTCAGGTATCTTTGCAAGGCCCTCAGAGGCTGTGGTAAGGACATCAGAGTCCATCGTTAGGGCCATCAAGAGACCGTCACAGGTTCCTCAGATGCCAGCATAGCCCCTGCAGCCTGGTTGTGTTGGGGCCCTCAGAGGCCGTCGTGGGCCGTCTAAAGCCCGATGGGCACTCAGACCTTAAATGGGTCTAGGACCGTGTCACGAGGGCCCTCAGAGACCGCCGTGGGGGCCTTCAGAGGCAGCGTAACCCCTGGAGTCTCCGTGGGGTCCTCAGATGCCGTCATGGGGCACCAAACGCGGTTCGGGACACTCCTAGCGGGCGAGGGCCCCACAGACCAGCATAGGGCGCTCCTGACCAACAACTGGACGTCTGATGATCGGTGATTCCACATGATCGTTCGTTTCCCGATCACTGGTTTTTAGGATAAAATGTATTTGGGGGTGTGGCAGGCCTCTTATACGGCTTTTGGAGGGTGCAAAAGGCTATGTTTGCACTCCAATGTTTTCCATGGGTCTGGAGCTGAAACCCCTGCACCCTCTATCCGGATTTCCGCTGCCCTTGAGCACCGAGATGACCAAACGACTTTACAACGCCACACTATCTACATGCAATCAGTTCAGGGAGTTCAATCTATTAACAGCATTCTGGCATAAATCATCAGCAGCGAGCGTCCAGCTCCTTCCTTCGGAATGGCCCTCACCGAAAGTCCTGCTTTTTCGTCCAGATAGTCCTCGACGCCGTATTCAATTTTATCATCTCTATATGCTTTGGGAGGGGCAAAAGGACAGTCTTGCCCACATGATTTAGCTTTGGGGAGGGCAAATGCCCATTTTGCCCTCCCCTGGATCCGCCACTGCAAGAGGATGTGAGCAAAGATCAGCCCTCAGCATCTTGATCTCCAGAACTTTGTGCCTGGCATATAACTGCTGGTGTCTCACGCTGTGCCCAGCTTCATGGAGAATATAGCAAGATACCTATAAGGAATATAGTGCCTGGTGTAAAAAACTTATTGCATTATTTTCACTATCCCTTAATTTAACTCAAGAGACAGAGACGTAGGTATATTTTGCGCTGGTCATTGTCAAATTTCACGTGTGATTCAGACAGGCTTAAAAATCTGACTATAAATAGCAAAACCCACGGTGATTATAAATAAAATCAAGTAAATAAATCAAAATGTTTAGGAAAAATGATCCTATTTGTAACAATATTGTACAATGACAAAGTTTGTAGGTACTACAAAGTACAAACCTAGGCCAAGGCTAAAACTTATTCAATCTAGCATTTGACGCATGCCAACTTGCAACGCATTATCAATTTGAGGGAAAAAAATCCCTGTGATAATTACCCAAGGCTCTATAGAATAATTATCCACTGAACTACATAATGTAATGGGACCGTGTATATCACACCACGGTGAGATTTACACAATACCGGCCATTTGTGTAAATCACACCCACCCCGGTGTGATATACACAAAATCTACTACGTAGTGTAAATCACACCCGGGTGAGGAATACACAGAGAGGGCAGCTGTGTGTATATCTCACCACGATGTGACGTCATAGCAACGCTGAACGTCCATTGGTCAGAGCAGTGACTCTGCTCGCCCATTGGTCAGATCAGACTAAGCACTACGAATATTCCGGCGGGATTCCGGGCGTCCTCTCTCTCGAAATCAGCTGACCGCCTGGCCTAGTGGTGAAGGTGCTTGCACCATGATACGAATGTTGCGGGTTCGAGTCCCGTCGGTGCGGGCGCTTTTTCCCGCATTTTCGCTTTTCCTTGGTAGCGGTGGGTTTGCTGCCGACCGACAAGTTTAAAAGCACCAATACAATATGGAAAGCGACGTCTGAATGCTCGTGGCGAAGCGGTGCAGTGCCGAAGGCAATGCCTTAGGAGAGATTACAGGCAATGGTAAGTAAAATATTTTTAGGTTAAGTGGTTGTGTATCTGGCTTCAGGCCGAAGGCCTGAAGCCTGATGCACAACCACTTAACCTAAAAATATTTGACTTACCATTGCTTGCAATCTCTTCATGCGAGTACCTTCTTCCTCATCCACGGGTAGGCAAAAATCAGTAGGTCAGGTTAGGTTAGGTTAGGTTAGGTTAGGTTAGGTTAGGTTAGGTTAGGTTAGGTCAGGTCAGGTCTAAGGTTTGGTTAAGTGTCTTGTTACCGTGCCTACTGTGTAAATCTCACCGGCAGGTGCTGCGTGGTTTGACACCCAGGTGTGATTTACCCACTACCGAGCACACAGTGTATATCACACCCTGGTGAGATTTACACATTGGCTAGGCCTACTGTGTAAATCACACCCAGGTGCTGCGTGGTTTGACACCCAGGTGTGATTTACACACTAGGAGCACATTGTGTATATCACACCACGGTGTGATTTACGCATTTGCCGGGCCTACTGTGTAAATCACACCCAGGTGCTGCGTGGTCTGACACCCGGGTGTGATTTACACACTAGGAGCACATTGTGTATATCACACCCCGGTGTGATTTACGCATTGCCGGCCCACTGTGTAAATCACACTCCGCGTGGTGTGATATACACAGGAGTAGTGTATTGTGTAAATCACACCCGGGTGAGGTTTACACTACAGTGCGATGCATTATGTAAATCTCACCGTGGTGTGATATACACGCGTCCTAATGTAATTACCAACAAAATCACAATGAAATATACTAAAAAAGAAATGAAACTGTTGCGCCAGTTTAGCACCACATAATTCCTTCCATATCTTACCATTTCATTCCGGAATTCCTTCGCCTACCAGCAAAGCATGCAACTCACCTGCTCACCTGTTGGGGGTTCCCTGCCTTCCAGAGTACAGCATAGAGGATGTGCATAGGATACGTGAGGAAGGAACCCGCGAACGTAGGGCTCGCCCGGCGGAGACACCACAAGGGGGTGCTGCCAAGCCGGGAACAAGAGCCTGCATAGTGACAAACACGAATTTTGCTATAGTTTCATGATACATACAATAAAAGATCGTATACAATAATGCAAACACAAATTAGGGGAAACAGGTCAACGCAATAGCCATCACATATGATAAGAGAACAAGGCATCACCCATCGAGTCAGCCAACATGGCCTTGAACCTGCTCAGGTCGGATTCACCTACGACCTGGTCAGGGAGTGCGTTCCAAGCGGTGATACAACGCTTGCTGAAGGACCTGGTCCTGACATCAGTTTGTGCTCGAGTGTGGCGGATTTTGAACATGTGGCCTCTGGTACTAGACGAGGGATCAAGTTCGAACATGGTAGTGGCATCTATACAACACTTTGCGTGGAAAATCTTCCAATATTGAATCAGATCGGCACGTAGAAGTCTGCCCTGGACCGAGTACTGGTTCAGAGCCCTAAGCCGGGATTTATAATCAAGCTCTCCCATGCCTAAGATCTTTTTAGTCCAACGGCGTTGAACAGATTCGAGGAGGCGCACGTCCCCTATATACGCAGTGTGCCATACACATGAGCAGTATTCCATGATGGGTCTTACATGAGTGTTGAATAAAGTGAGCATGAAATCAGGGGATCTGCAGACAGTTGACCTTAACAAGTTTTGGGTAAGGCCAGCAGCCTTTTGCACTGTCAAAGCCACATGCTGGTGAAACTTTAGGTCAGAATCAATAAGAACCCCGAGATCAGTGTGGGATTTCACGACCTGAATCGATGTTTGGTCTAAGTGATAGGACGGGGGAGGTAGGACATGGGACCTTCTTTGAAAGCGGATGACCACACATTTTTTCAGATTTAAGTAGAGACACCAGGACTCTGCCGTGCGTTGTAGCATCGTTATGTCCTTCTGACAAGCCTGTGAATCACGACAGTAGTTAGCTGGACTGTCGTGGCGTATTGTCATGTAGATCTTCAGGTCATCTGCAAATATTTTATACTGACAGAGGAGGTTACTTGCGACATGGTTGACGAAAATAAGAAAAAGAATTGGTCCGAGGACAGAACCCTGGGGTACGCCACTCGAGACGTTGCGCTGGCTGCTTGTCTTTCCCTTTACCTGGACTGACATGCGGCGACCAACAAGAAAGTCCTCGATCCAGCGGATGAGGGGGGTATTGATCCCTAGCAAATGTAACTTGGTGAGCAGAATAGGGTGAGATACTACGTCGAAGGCCTTGGAGAAGTCAAACATGATGACGTCAACGGTGTCGCCCCTGTCAAGGTGTCTGGAAACGTCATCGTAAACCAGCAGTAGTTGGTCCATGGTTGAGCGACCTGCACGAAACCCGAATTGGTGGTCAGACAAGATATTGTTGCTCTCGAGGTAGTCTGTCAGGTGGCGGGCGATTATTCGCTCTAGACACTTGCATGTTACTGAGGTCAGGCTAATAGGGCGATAATTAAGGGCTTGGTACCTTGAGCCTTTTTTGAAAATTGGCACAACTACCGACGATTTCCACTGGACAGGCAAGCGGCCTTCCCTCAGCGACTGGCGGAAGAGGAGTAATAATGGGTAAGTTAAAGCTGAGGCACACCTTTTTAGTAGGCAGGGGTGGATATCGTCCGCTCCCGCCGCAGAGAAAGCATCCAGGCACTGCAGGGAGGAGAGCACGTCCTGGGCACTGACGTAGAGTGGAGGCATCTGGCTGGATACAGACTGGTGATCAGTTGGGCCGCGACGAAGGGAAGGGCTGTGCAGGGCGGGTGTGAAAACACTGGCAAATGCAGTGACGAAAGCTTCAGCCATCAACTCTGGGTCGTCTGAGAGACTCCCGTCAGGTAGCTGTAGCGGGCCGACTCCGGGACAACCAACTTTCTTCCTGCGAAGGTAAGCATGAAAACGTTTGGGCTGTGTCTTAAGATCATTAAGTAGTTCAAGCTCGTAGTTGACTTGAGACTCAGTAGCAAATGATCTTAGCTGCTTGTTTGCCTTGAAAAAGTCTCTCAAGGCTACCTCTGCTGCGACAGAGCTTTTGCCAAGGCGGTGGCGGACAGACTTATACTTTGCCCAAGCTTCCTTTTTACTGTTCCTTAACCTGTGAGGAGGGTTAGTTTTCCATGGCAGCCTGTTTGAGATCTGTTGTGGGGCAAGGGGAACACATTCCTCAACAAGGGGCATCAGGACATTCACGAAACGGGTATACGCGCCACCGATGTCAAGCGCTGTAAACTCAGCATCCCAGTCAACCTCGTATAAGGCACGCGATAGGATGTTGTATTTGCCTTTCTGCCACTTCCGGTACTTAGCAGGGGCGATCTGCGAAGGAGACGTCTCAAGGTCAAACACATAAGTGCATAGTATCGGGCAGTGGTCGCACCCGGGTAAGGGAGGGAGTACCTGAACAGATCCAACTCTGTCTGCGTCTGTGGACAGGACAAGATCCAGTATATTGCCCGAACGTGGGAAAGTGGGCACGATAACCCACTGGGTAAGCCCCAGAGACATGAATACTTCGTAGCCTTGCCTGTCAAAAGAGGAAGCGTGAGATATCGGACAAGAACTCTCCCAGGACAGCGTAGGTAAGTTGAAGTCCCCCAGAAGAAGGACTTCCCTGTCACCACAGAAGGCCAGCAGAAAGTCATATATGTGTGCTGTGTCCTCCAAGGAGGAGGATGGTGGCCGATATACCACTGCAACATGCAGGTTAAAATCAGGAAGGCGGACCGCTAGCACATTCTGATATGGCTTATTTACTTCATCAAACTTCACTGAGCTGTGGATGTAGAGGCACACGCCATGTTTGGGGAATCTTCCTGGTGTATCGTTCCGGACAATGTGGTAACCTGGAATGGTAATAAAACTGTCAGGCATAGAATGCAGCAGATGAGACTCTGTAATAGCAAGAAGGTGAAGTCCATGATCGACAAGGAATTCCTGAACGAATGGCACCTTCCTGGTAAGGGAGTTAACATTAGCCTGGCCAATCTTCAAAATAAAAGTAGATCCACTGGAGCCCTGGCAGGGAGCCGAGGCTACTCGTTTGCCACAGGGCGGGGCTGGTTGTTGCCAGGTGCTGAGACAACAGAGCCATCTGTCCTCTCAGATACCTGCGGAGAGGGGGTAGCCGTAGGTGGGACCGCTCCAGGGCTCGGTTCCTGTTGGTTGCCAGCAGCAGGCATGGAGGGGGCATCAGATGCAGGCTGAGAAGACCCAGCACCATTAGCTCCAGCTGCCACGCCCGCTGCAGACCGCCTCGCTCGCAGCTCAGCTCTCTGGTTGAAGGTCAGGTCACGTCGGATGAACACAGTCCCAAAGAGGTTGGAATGTTTCAGCTGCCTACAGTTATTCAGGATCATCTTTCGAACCTCGTCATCCTGGACCTTTCCACGATAGAGGTCGCTTTCTGAGGGAATTTTGACAACGTCAGTAAGTGTGACACGCTGGTTAACCAGATGTTCTGAGACAGCCTCAAACTTGGTGACAGCCTCGGATGCTGAGGCAGCACCCAGGCCCCTAATAATAAGAGAAGTGCGGCGCTTTTGCTGCTCCTGTAATTCACGAAGCTCTTCTCGCACCACTTTTTCCTTTTTCCTTTTTGATCCTTTTTGCAAAAGGATCTTGGAAGATTTATTTGAAAATTGCCTACAGTTTACACGAAACTGATAATCAACATATTTATTTAAGTCAAATTCAAATTATTCAAAACCAATATGGCATAGAAATCAGTTATTTTGAGAAGTAAATTACCCAACAAACATAAATATTTTTAGACGTCAAGGATCTTCCTCTCTCCGATATGATATGGCTGCCCTCAAAATAACTTCTGTGGCAAGATGAGGTCAGAAGAGGTTGTCCGCCGGCGTTCGGGTGGTGTTGTTTCCTTGATATTGTGTAATAAGAGATCATATTTAGTGTTTTAGACGTGGGAAATCACTTATATTTTTGCCTTTGAGGAAGGGGTAAAGGCTCAGAGTACCTATATTGATATTTATAGGTGGTGACTGGTGATGCTTTGAGTTGTTTCAGTTTTAGCCGTCTAGGCCCTGGCTTGGACTATTACTGACACAGTGTGTTGGAAGTCTGAATCTTAATCAGTTCCAGTCCTGATTAGTTTCTGATTGGCTATCCACATCAACATAAGTGGATTTACAAGCTAACTGTCCTTCAACTCATTTGCTCCATTGGTAAGTCAGTTAGCTTATACATTATTTCCTCAATGTTTCTGTTTCCCTGAACACTACGAGGTCTGCCTCTGGGAGGACGGTGAAAACAGGGCGCCTGGGGCGATTTGATCAAGGTTTGTGAAATTCACACGTGATGTTAAGCATGTAGAAGGCCCACGGAGGGGGAGAAACTTCCAAATGTCACGTGACTAATATGCCCTCCGCCGCCCTGTTTTCACCGGCGTCCTGCCTCTGGTCTCCTTTATCATTGCTCTCCAAGGCAGTGGGTGTTCATGTTGTTGCAGCACACAAGGCTTGGGTGGGGGATGGGATGGGGAGCTACTGGATTCCCAATTGCAACTTACCTGCAGCTTCAGGTTTTGTGAGGTTGTGGTGACCAGCTCACATTGCTTTTCTCTGGCTCTGGTTCTGTACAATCATGAAAGCAAGGCAATGATGCAGGTATCAGCATTCAAAAAAAAAGAATCAGCACATCCATGGCTGAAGGCCAACCCAAGAGATTGTGTCTTACAACCTTAATTATTTGACATGCTTCTATTTTCTGTCATTGTAGGATGCTGTCCTTTCAGTTGTATCTTTTCTTGTGTGATAACAGGCACAATATAATTGCAATGGTATGGTCAGTCTGCTTGCAATTAGTTTTGTTTGCCTTGTCTTATCATGATCTGTCTTGGTATGTATAACCAGTGCTGCTCATTTTTTTTTCAGGATGCAGTTAAAGTAGCTCCAAGGATGGCTAGCATAGTAACAGTGGTGAAGAAGCCTTTTAGCCTTTGTATCTCTATCACCAAATGGATACCAGTGGTATTCATTCTGGCTGTTGTGGGCTGGTCCTACTATGCCTATGTTGTGGAACTCTGCATGGGTAAGTCCTGAACTGTGGTAAATACATATTTATGAGATCAGTAACAGAAGTCACTTACCTGGCCTGCAAGTCAGCTTTGATTAGGTACTTGTTGTCCTCTAATACTTTAATAACATAGAGCTTTCATGAAATTTATTACTTCTGGATGAAAGACAACAACCTTGGTAAATATTGTCTACCTTTGTGGACAAAGTTTGATTCTAGGAAGTTTATTTGACTTCATTTCCTTCTACCCCATTCAAATCTGCAGTTATGATGTTGATTGTTTGTTTCTGATTTCAGTGACTGTGGAGAGCTATGCAGAGAAGCTGGTGTACCTCGTGTTCTATCACATCTCCCTGCTGCTGTTCCTCTGGTCATACTACCAGACAGTGATGACTCCCATAGGGAAAGTTCCAAAACAGGTGAGTTATCTCAGTGTTTGTGGTAGTACAGTCATTCTGTTGCTGTGCTCAGGATATTCCCAGCTTCTCTTTTTCTTGAGAAATAGCGCTTTCATTTCATTTCTAAATTCAGCTCAGGTGTCTGTTGTTTTGACTTTGTCTGAACTAATGGGTCTAGCAGACAACCTACAAACTAGGTACCAGTTGAAATTTTCCTTAGGTTATTAGGTACCACAGCAAAAGACCATTGCCACTCACAGGTGAACTATAGAGGATCCAGAAAGGCATTCCTTTTTAAAGTCCTACGTGCGCCCTTTGGTTCTTTTATTTTGTCGATTTAAATTTTGATCTTTTCCACGCCGACGGTCAGTTTCTATTGGTTCGGTTCCCGAGTCCCGACCACATAAGGCTCCCTACGTAGCGATTTTCCCTTCCGATGCCATAATCTGTCTGGGAAGACTCCGGGCAGGAAATTTTGCGGATCATCGCGGGGAATCGGACCGAAACATTGGGCTGTTAGGGAAAATTAACTGCACTGCTGCAGTTTTCCCAGTTTCCTGGTACCGATGCCAAACTGATGTCAGCAGACACTTCTCGTGAGATTTATCGATAGAACGTTACAGTCAAACTCGCTTTTAGTGTATGCGCTGCCGAGGGGACACGTTTTAGCGTATCCAGTTTGTGTGGCAGTAAACACGCTGGTAATTGGCGAGAGACGGTCTCTCCCGGTTTAGAGAGGACAATGCCACCATCCGTCTGCTGTGCATCGGGCCATGTAGAACGTTCCCAGTGCTCTGGTGCGCTGGCGGAATCAGCAGCGGTAAGGTTATACGGGAGAAATAGATCCGCTCGCTGTTATTTCCAGCTAAGCTAAGGATCAGTTGGCTGCAGTTCAACTAATTCGTCTAGATCATATTGTTTTCAGATCAAATTACGTGCCCGCGCAACCTAAGGAAGGCCTTTTACCAGGAGGGCGTATTTCTTTGGTCGGTAATGATTATTTAGGATTACTTGATCTCAATATAAAGGCATGTTGGTGTACCTAATTATGTTGTTATTTGTGACCTCGGGAGGGGTACGATGTCAGTCTCAGGAAGTTGTCCAGACACTGCCGACTGCCGTACATACCATAACCGGGTACGGGTTTCGGGGACCAGCGGACGCATGGTGCTCCCATCGCCCGCCGGGCTCCATGTCCGATGTTTGACCTCGGTGGTTGGTCTGTTTTTCGGACGACCGCGCCGCACTGCGGTCCTTTCAGTCGGCCAGCTGTCGGTCCCCGCTGGCTTGTAGATCTTTTATGAGATTTCTATGATCTCCGGCCCCTGTGTCGGCTGTTTGGGCCGGCTGTCTGAGGAGTTTTAGGCATCATGCTCCCTGTGTCAGTAGGTTATCAAGCGCATTTGGTCTGCTCTACGGCTGTCAGGCGCTGCTAAACCCTCTGTTGGCTCAGGCTGCCCTGCCAAAACCTGCTGCACAAGTGTTTTACGTTTTCGGACACCACTGACTCCTGCGGCCTGCGGCCGTGTCGGCTGTGGGGCTTCGCTGGTGTGTGACGGGACTTCTGTCCGGGGCCGATAGTGTGCTGACATTTGGTCAATACGCGGAACTGGCGACCTAGTCCGCCCCGCCGGCCCACTATCGCCGGCAGGGATTACGCGAGGCTGTAGTGTTTGGCGTGGTATTTGTCCGACGGTGTGTCGTCATTATGGTACGCCTATGATAAGGCGTGTTCTTTGTTCCGTAAAGGATGTGTGTATGTGGGGGGGGGGGGGGCACGCATGCCTTGAACGAGCTGGTTGCTAGGATTGTTATTCGTTTCCTGTGGGTTTTACCGAAAAAGTTGACTTTGTTAGCGTGTTTCGTCATAATCTCGGTCACTGTTCAAGTTCGTTGCAACTAGCTCAGCTTGCAATCAAATAAAACAGGCTACGTTATACCCTGAGGGACCTGGAGGCTGGAAGCCCCGATCAAGACGAGTTTAAAGGTCATGTCTGGCCGGCGCTGTACTCTGAATGACTGACGGAGTCGTAGCGCTGATAAGTACACCGTGCGGCTCTGATAGCTCGCCATACGGTCCCGATAAACGGGGCCTCTCAGGCGGCCGGCGGTCCAGGGTCGGTCGACCTCTGCGCCAGTCGCGGTGCTCTTCTGTTCAGTGTCATCACAGGGACAATGGCGATACGGTATACACATGTGTCATCTGCGTCACTGGAGACACTCAGTCGTCTGACTCTGGGTCAAGGACTGGAAGCGTGTGGACCGTTTTGAGTAGACAGCAGTGCGTGCTACTGCTCGGTCCCCCGAGATCACATCAGTTTTTAATGAAATTCCAGGCTCATTCCACGGGGATTTGTGTTCTTAACCATAGACCGAAAAGGTCAACCATAGACCAAAGAGCCGAGGTGACTGAGAATACTTTTGTTGGGTCTGAACTTATATGCATTCTTTATTTATGCATGTGTTTATGGAATATGTAGAGAACTATAACACATAGGTATGTCATATACCTACCCCTCTCTTGAGTTCGGTACACAGTCTCCGTGTTCCAATTGAATGTGATCTCCGAGCCTGAGTTGAGCTGTTCTCCTGTTTTTCAGTTTAAGCTGAGTTCCGCCGACCTGGAGCGTTTCGAGTCGACGGAGGACAATCGTCTGCAGATCCAGATTCTGGACCGCCACGCGGCTGACGGCTGTTTGCCCACCTACAACAGGACCATGTCAGGCAGTGAGTGGACGAGGAGGGGATAAATAAAGGGAAACAGAGAGAGGAGGGGGCCGCTGTAGTGTAGTGACACTAGTGCTGACGGCTGCCCGCCCGCCTTTGACGCCTGGATCCCGATGTTTGTAGCGTAGCTAGGCTTTGCCTTGTGTTAAATCATAACAGTTACAAAAGTCGAGACTGGCTACATCAATTTTATAATGCGTCGTCGCCGTAACTACGTCGCTGTATTTCGGGGTCGACATAGCTTTTAAATATGGGACGTTAAATGGAATTTTCAAGCAAGTTTGAAGCCATATATACCTATGCCCTAATCTCATTCCGTCGTGCTCTGCCGGCAGCGCTGCGGTACTGTGAGCGGTGTCGGCAAATCAAGCCCGATAGATGTCACCACTGCTCCGTCTGCGGCGAGTGTGTCCTCAAAATGGATCATCACTGTCCATGGGTGAGTCCGAGTCGTAGTGTGTTAGTACTCAAGTACCAGTAATTTACCTACGTCTCTACGCCAGCCGCACACCATCGTCATTTGAATGACGTGAGAAATCAGAAAGCACTGGGCTCCGTTGGTCGATACAGTCCACGCTTTAGGAAGTGGCACGAACATTTTCATGAGAAAGAGTGTTCCGAAAATGATACTGAGCGCTGTTTTTTGCTCCTTAAGACCTCATTGGTTGTCTGTCCAGCTATCAGCCTGGCGGTGACTAAATTTGACGTGCGTTTCAGGTAAACAACTGTATCGGCTTCACCAACTACAAGTTTTTCGTGCTGTTTCTGGGGTACGCGTTCACCTACTGTGTGTATGTGACGCTCAGCACGCTCAAATACTTCATCGTGTTCTGGAAGGTGAGCGAAACGGGTGGTGGCGTTGGGGTGGAAGTACGTCCTTTGCATCCTGGAAATACGTAATTTGCGTATGATTGCAAGATCAACAAGGCTGTTACGCTGTTTTATTTATTTATCTTTGCAAGACATATAATTTTTAGCGGACTATACCTCTTTCTGCACATTAGTTTCTTCGTTGACCTGGGATTTTCGTATGAGAAAGTTGTTTCGATTTGAGGATCCATGCCTAGCCAATGCTGAGTACCTACCTGGTAATAATCGGTCCGAGTAGCCGGAGACCGGACTAGCCCTGACACTATCTGTTTGTGCGTCCACAGGATGGTCTACAGGGCGTGGCGCGGTTCCACATTCTCTTCCTCTTCTTCGTGGCGTCCATGTTCGGCGTCAGTCTGATCTCGCTACTCAGCTACCACTGCTACCTGGTGCTACGGAATCAGTCCACACTAGGTAAGGAGTGCTACTGAGTACTCAGCTACTATCGTTATCTGGTGCTACGAAATCAGTCCACACAGTAAGGGGTGCTACTCAGCTACCACTGCTACCTGGTGCTACGGAGCCTCTCCACATTTAGCAATCGTAGACTCTCGTGGATCTCTTGCGTGTACTTCAGTGTTTGTGAAAAGCGATAATGTGAACACATATATATTGCACAAACCGGTTTCGATATCACTTCATCAGTGTGCAAATATATAAATAAAACACACAAAATACAAAACGGAGACGAAATAGGTACAGTACGTACAGCAGAGCAAATTAATTTCAAATACATTATATGACCTCATGTGATTGAGATCCCAAGACTTCAGTGTTTGATTGTTAAGCCGATTTAATTTCCAGTTACTGATGCCAAGAAAACAGCTCGGACTGACCGTTCATGGACGTGTCCCCGTTTTGGCAGAAACATTCCGGCCGCCGATCTTCGAGTCGGGTCCTGACAAGCGCGGCTTCCACATGGGCCGGTACAACAACTTCTGCGAGGTGTTCGGCGACTCCAAGCTCAAGTGGTTCCTGCCTGTCTTCTCCAGGTGAGAGCCCGCTGAGAGGGCAGTAATACTCACTCTACTTACTCGTCAGCTGCTGATGGGCTGGTGGGGGTGGGCCGTGGGGAGGGGCTGTAATAAACCTAATGGGAGCGGAGGTCCCGGCCTTACCTTCCGCAGAGGGGATGGGTAGGGGTAGTGGGTACGGCTGTGACGTCTTGACGGAGAGTGGTGATAATTAGATGGCAGTTACGGTTGACAGAAATGACGCACGTACCAGTGGCACTGATAGATCAATTTAAAACGTCACCCAGTATCTACATGAGTACATATATTGGTGGGGTGTGGTGTTTGATTGGCTTTTTACGTCAGCGCCGGGTGACGGTGATGTGTCGTATCAGGGAGCGATAATGGATACATTACAGCTGTGCCAACATAATTGGCCTCCTGATGGTGATAATTATCGCCCCAGTAACCGGAGTAAACCACTTCGAACCGGTTTCATAGGCCGTTGGCCGTGGTCGGGCCGGGGGCCGTCGGCTGTCGAATGCCGCCAGCGTCTTGAGTCTTAGGCCTTTCGACTTATTAAAAAAAGATTGACCAAACGACTTTGCTGTAACCCGCTGAGCCGTTGCGACTCCCTGTGCGAAGCAATATCACATCTTTGACCCTGTATGGTTTCCGTGTGTCTTCGCTGACCCGATGCGTTCATGTGACCTCTACGTGATGCTATGTGACACCCTGACCCTATGCACCTCTGCGTGACCCCTATATGACCCCACTAACCCTCCCCTCGGCCAGTCTGGGGGACGGCGTCAGTTTTCCGCAGCGTCACGTCGATCTCGACTCGGACGGCCTGCTGGGCCGCCAGCGCTGGCAGGAGCGGCTCCTCTCCGATGACGCCAGCGACTCGGATGACAGCCACGCGGCGCTGGTCAGCGGGCTGGCCGGTGACGGCGGAGTCCGCGTCGGGAACGGGGTGCCAGGTACGAGCGATGGGTGGGCGGTGGGACCGGCTGTGACTGCTGATAACACGTTTTTCACTTGTGGCTTGTGGTTGAATGGGTGCTCTAGCCGATAAGGCCATTGGTAACGCCTTACACTAGTTACTTCATGATTTGGATATACGGTGCTACTGTGAGCAAATGAAACTCTACCTAGTCTAGTTGTTATTTAACTTATTGTCAGTTTTTTTTTTAGCATAGGATATTGTGCCATTACCGGTGAATGTAATTGATACAATTCCACGCCGTTTATGTATGCACTACCCTGTGAGCTCAGATGGGGACTCGCGACGATTACATGTGACTGTAACCTGTGACCTGACAGTCACCCTGTATGTGTTCGCAGTGGGCTCGCCTCAGCGGTCAGTGCCCGACGTGCGGCTGGTCATGGAGTGACCAATGGGTGGTCAGCGGTGATCGGTCAGCAGTGATCGGTCAGCCTCATGGAGTGACGATTGGTCACGGACGGTGGTCATTGGTCATCTGTCAGCTATCAGCCAACCTAGGCGGTGAAAGGCTCCGATCCGAGCGGCCGGCCAGCCGGACCCGCCAAGGGTAATACGATCTCAGCCGTTATGGTCACACGCACAAGACGCGGCCGTCTGCGTCCATGGTCCGGTCCCGTACACAACTGCGACGCGGCCCCTCATACGAACGGTAGAACGGCCGTCAGAAGGCAGGATAGACAGCTGGGCGCGGCTCGTCAGGGGACAGGACAGACGGTTTTGGCGCCGCAGCAGGTGTGTGATATTTGTGTGATGGCCGGGCCTCTGAATATGGTCACACAGTGTGATTTCCGTGTGTCTTCTGGTCAGCTCCGCGCACCCCGTGTTCCCCTGTATGTGATGTTTGCGTTTCGGGAGGGGAGAGAGAGTCCTGCTCCTGACAATCCTGATTTCATCGGGCATACGGCGTGGACATGTGTGGAATCGTGGATAGGGCGTGTGGATAATGGATATCTTGTGGCATTTTGAGGAGGCATTACTGGACCCTGTATGGCAATTATTCAAGGCAGCGGGCTTTTGAGAACTAGTCTCGAGTGACTGAATTTCAAACTTGTCGCCTGGTTTGCACGCTATCAGCATGGCGCTTCATACAGCGTCCGATGCCTCATGCCAGTGTGACCTACCCCAACGTTCGATCATCACATTCCTAGCTGGTAGGATAGTGGGTCGCCCGTATTAGTGTGTCGATGGCTGTCGCCGCGGGCGGCGCTCAGCTGACCCGAGCAGCGCTGTCGATATTTATTCTCCATCACCATATGTCCCTTGCGACTTACCGTCGCAGCTCCCTGCTTCAGCACACATTTCCTGAGTAGCAGAGTTCCTTTGTCACTTATACGAACCTATGTTTGATTTGGGCCGGGGCTGGGCGGTGGTGTTGCCCTCTGGTGGATAGGTTCCGCCTGTGAGATGCTTTAATCGGCACCATCGTGTGGTGATTGCTAGCACCAGCGTTTGGTGATTGTGTCACCAGCTGATGCTTGTTTGCTTGTCATAATTTATCATACCTTCAGGGGGTATTCGCTGGGTATGGGGTGGACCCGATTCGTATTACGTTTTCACAGTTCCTTCTCATCAATGTATCCCTTGGGTTATTTGAGAGCTAAATGCGAGCACTGCACAATCGGGTGGGGCAGCTGTGTTTGGAATGTTCTCAGGCTCTGTGTGGGTCACGGGCTGCGGTGACCTAGGTCAGGGACCTGTGTCCGTCGCCGTAACCCGGTGACCCCGTCAGGTCACACGGTACTGTCCTATATAGGTGGTACTGCGACCGTGCGCACAATTTCACCGCTGTGCACAACATTGGGGCCATTGCTGAATCGTATTGTCGTGATCACCTCACGGCATTTAGGTCGAAAGTTTTTGTAACTCGATGACAAGCATCTCCTCGCAAAGGCAGCGAATCAGACCCTGCGTTTTTGTCCCGTTTTGGTAACGATTGGAGCTTTGGGGGATGTCGCGCGTCTGTCCCCTACCAGTCCCGATTGGCTCGGGAGTTGTCTATGGGTTGATCCCTCGCTTTTGACGCGATCTAGTCATAATATGTGGGTGTCTCAACTTTGGGGATATTTTTATCAATACATGGAACATACTCATCATGAGCTGTTTGTTTGGCTGGTTTGTTGGACGGCTTGCTTCGTCTTTTGATACTGAGCTGAAACAGCCGAAACAGTCGTTACTTCAACAGCCGAAATGTCTGAGATTTGGCTCATGCTGTAAAATTTCTACAGCGATATCTTCACTTAGTTACATTCCATCCTCCTTTACCCACATTTTCCCGCCACTCAGTCCCTATAGTTTCTACACAGCTGCCGCCCTTGTCATGCTTACTCCCATACTCTCTGCGGTAGCCACGTAAACGGAACAGACGATCGGTGTTCGGATTCTCGCTCGTCAGCTGCGCAGCGCTGATCTACAAGTTCCGAAGAAATGTGCTTGGAACGCTGCAGCTGTCTACACCTTTTTAGGCGCAATTTCAAAAATTTAAAGACCAAATTCAAAAAGTTTACATTCAAAATGCACGTGAACGTTTTGAATTTGGTCTTTAACTTTTTGAAATTGCGCCTAAAATGCTGTAGAAAGTAAACTTCGCTGTCGATTCGGCCCTTATCAATGGAACTTGTATGACAAGCTGAAGTGGTTTGTCAAACTCGGCGCTGAACCCTTCTCCCTGTCCCGAGACCAGGTTGAACCGAGACGATTTACCACACAATTTAATGTTCTTATGCGATGTGTGGATAGGAACTAGGAAGTATCAGTTATTGAGTCTTAAAATTCGCATCAATCAATTCTAAAATGACTCGTAGATTTTAAAAGCGATCATGTGGCATAACAATGTCATGCATGAAGAATAGGTCGAATTAATTATACCGTTTCGTGGTAACGCCCAAAAAGAAAAAAAATGGAAACTGGTTATTGGAAATTCAAGCAGTTAAAGTGAGCCATCATAGTCCCAGGTCAACACGGACAACTCAGCTAAACTCAGTGATTTGATACAATTCGGATAATATTTTATTATCAAATAGTACGAATACACACACACAACCAGGAGAGGCTTTGGCTGGCCGCTCGCCCTGCTCTGGGGTCCCGCTCTGACGAGTGTGCGCTCTGCGCCTACACGCTCACACCTCACCTTACGCCGCTCACATCGCTCTCACACACTCGCATCTCACCGCGCCTCTCACCCGCCGCCGGCCCGGTCCCGTCCGCACGGATGGACGGCCGGGAGCGCCGCGTCCGTCCGCCGCACACACAGTCTGGTGGTGGTGGTACGGGGAGCCGCCCGAAGCCGTACCTCGGCTAGAGAGAGCGCCGGCGCGGACCGCGTGCCCCGCTCTCACTCTCTGTGCACTCTGTCCCTCTCCGGCGCGGCGCGTGACACGTCTCTGGAATGCCCTGTGCCGACCGAGCCGAGCTCCACGAGCAGCATCCTTCATTCGTGCACCGCGAGAGTCCGTAAAATCACACCGCCTTCGCGACACACCACGTCAACTGGTAAAATCGCCGCGCCGCGCGTGAGCCCGCGGCACGGAACACAGTAGTCCATGGGACAGCCGCTGCGCAGCGCCACCGTCGCGCCGCTCGGCCGGCGCTGGGCCGCTGGCCGGTAGATCGTAATTTCAACAGCTCCTAGTTGTCAGCAGGCAGCTATTCGTCTGTCTTGGGGGCAGGCTCGGCCTCCTTCGCCGGCTCCGTCTCGGCAGGCTTAGTCTCCGCGGGAGTCTGAAACGCAACGGCAAATGTCAGTTCGGGACCGGTCAACCACTCCCTACAGGGTACAGCCGTGAGCGCGTCTTTTCAATGCCATAGGGCTTGCACTGCACTGGTTCATAAGACGATACCTTAACACGTTCTCCGATGATCAATAGTTGGACAATGGCACAATATTCGGGGCATTGCTCGACTATTCGGAATAAAGTGCAAGAGACGCGGATCAGTCTCTGCAGCTTAAGCGTCCTTTTCACATCCAATCTGACAGCAAATGGCGAACGATCCCCCTTGTCACGTTTATCACTTACCTCAGAGGCGGGCGCTGGTGAAGCCTCTTCCTTCTTCTCAGCAACTGGTGCCTCATCCTTCTTCTCTTCGGTCGCGGACTCTGCTTCCTTCTCCACGGCTGCCGGCGCTTCTTCCTTATCTTCCGGCGCAGGAGTCTCTTCCTTCTTTTCCTCGGCTACAGGTGCCTCATTCTCAACCGCCGGCGACTCTTCCTTCTTCTCTTCAGCTGCGGGAGCTTCCTCAACAGCCGGGGCCTCTTCCTTCTTCTCCTCAACGACAGGGGCCTCTTCCTTCTTCTCCTCAACGACAGGAGCCTCTTCCTTCTCTTCGACGACCTCGTCCTTCTTTTCCTCAACAACCGGCGCCTCTTCCTTCTTCTCTTCAACGACAGGAGCCTCTTCCTTCTTCTCCTCTACGGCAGGTGCTTCTTCCTTCTTCTCCTCCACAACAGGGGCCTCTTCCTTCTTCTCCTCCACGGCGGGTGCCTCTTCCTTCTTCTCAGCCGCTACGGGAGCCGCCTCTTCCTTCGCGACGACGGGCTCTTCGGCCGCCTTCTGCGAAGGAGACAACCATCGGTGAGATAAGTAGCAGCACATGATGCTAGTGGGAGGAGCGACGCTTCACTCAGCTAGGGGAGCGTTGACCAGTTGATATATAAGACCGTGTCAATACCAACGAGGTGGTGCCATACTCCAACCACAGCACGAATGGTAACAGAAGAATGGACAACTTCACCGCATGGGAAAGCCAAATTTGAACCATGCTGGTACGTTATACTTATGCATGCACAGTCACGTTAGTGGGTCTGAGGGCAAGGATGTTATCGCGGCAACCAGACAGCTGATCTTCAACACGTCATCTTTCGGGTCATGGCAACACCCGTGCCGATCGTGCCTGCCAGCCGCGCCTGCGACAAGTATCACCAGAGCCGCCCGCCCACACCCAGTCTGATCTTGCCAGGTGCCAGTCTGTCATCCCACGCCTCCGCTCGCCGAGTTCCGTGCCAGACAGGGGATGGAGGGCGGTGGCCGAGGGACACTCATCGGCGCTGGTCCGGCCTCCGGTGGGAGTTGGACAGCTGCCGGGCGGAGGGACGGATCTCTCCTCCCACCAGCCGTGTCGGTAGGGCCTCCCGATCTCATGACGTCATTACTGCTCGTGTGGCGTTATTGGATCGAGCGGAGCGTGCCGTGTGAGCGCAGACGTGGAACGGAGACGTAGGAGAGGCGCCCGACCCGCGCTGATGACGCACACAGGCGGCGGCGGATGCCGCGGCTATGAGGGCGAGGGCCAGGCGGCCAGGGGCGGAGACCATGGAAGAGGTCACGAGATGCCTGGCATGCCGATCGTTAAGGCATGAAGCCGCGGAACGTGCCATAAATATATCTTGCAAATACAGAACAGTGAGCAAACATGCACACGTGCAAGTGCGCACATACTCTCCATAAATAAAAGCGCGTCTATAAACATATCTAGGAATCTTGGAAATTTCAATCGAGGTCGGAGGAAGAACACTTTCAGTGAGGAGTGAGGGGTCTGAAGTCTGATTTTGGTCTAGTGTGGGACCTTTATGCGACAAATATGGGATTGTGAAGTCGCTGTCTTCGCAGACCAATTAGTCATCCTTTTAATTGCATAATTGGTATGAGCTGCATACCGTCACGGTACTGAAGAGCAGCCACCGGATTTCGCATATTGTGTCGAATTGGGGATGAATAACCAGCCTAATCCAATGGACAATTTGACAGCAATTACGTGAGCTAGGGCTCTAATTATTGCTTATTAGGTTTGATGGCGCTCACATTTCCGTCTGATCGTTAGAAATGACCCAATAAAACGTCAGTGAGGCGCTAAATTGACCATTTCCTGCCTTGGTTTTGTTACAGTACCATATGAACGGCTACCCCACTGCGTGTTGATTCTAAGTGCAATGGTTTGAAGCTGCCCCTGGCATTGAAGCGTAAGCCTAATAACTAAGAACTAAGCTCAAGCCTGTTCCTGTGAGGCTCCCCAGTCTGGGCTTTGGTGAGTTTTCCGTGATTCGCCCACCTATGAGCTGCCGACAACCCGTCACAGCCTGCGGCCCTTCTGTCCCCGCGCCAGCTGGACCCCGTCCAACCACTGACCCGCTCATGACCTGGTCCGAAGGACAGAGCCATGCGTCATCACCCGACCGCCGGAGAATGGGGACAGGACTGTCACAGACCCTCGCCAATGACGGTCAGACACCGATCGATCGTGACGTCACTTCCCGTCTGGGTCGTCGTGTCAAAGTATAGATTGCTGATGAATGAGAAAAGTTGCGAGCGTTCGGTCTGTAGCTCAGAGGTATACTCTATTGGTCATGTGAGAGACAGTCTGTAGCATAGAGGCATACTACATGGGCCATGTGAGAGACTAAAGACAGTTGTGTATCAGACAAAGAAACACTGCCATCTTTAACTCCTTTGATCTCGGTGCTCTCGTTACGACTCGAGGTCGTCAAGGTCAGGTCACTAAGGTCACCTCTGCCGCCTATCAGAGCATTCACGCTAGTCGTGTCCCGGTGGCCAACGTTGACTCAGTACCAATTTGTTCAAGTCCATTTGTCCCGGCATGTGGAATGGCGCCATTTTCGGAAGAAGAGCGCGGTGACTTCATGAAGGGCTCCCGTTTTACTTTGGTGTGGTTTTCATACAGGGAGGCCAAGTCACCAGTTGCAGTCGATGCTACTGATGCGATGACATGATGCGGATCCACACGTTGTGTCACGTTGTGTTGTGTCATATATGGGTCATCCGGAGTGCATTTTTAGATCATAATGCAATGTCGGTGTCGTCGTTTTCAGGAGACTGATGTGGCATCCGGGATCCTAATTTGACGCAGTTCGTATCCATGATGGCAGCGAGGCTATTTGACCCGGCTGATACTACTCCATGAGAGAGAAATGGAAATAACAGCTCATAAACACCTACCGACTTTACAACTTCGTGTAGTAGCAAAATGGACATTATTTCCTTCTTTTAGCGATGGGACGCATTTCTTAACCCGCGCACCGACGGGGGTCTGCGCCAACTTAGTACCGACGGGGGGGGGGGGGGGGGGCGGATGACCGCCCCCCCCCTGAGATCTCGAGAACGAAGCAAGATAGCGACAAGCGGTAAACGGCATCGGATACGCACGGTCAAGATCTACAATTTTTACTAAGGTCATTTTCAGGTCAGGTCAAAGATGACGTCACAGGGGTCGAAAACGTCAAAATGGCGGCGCTAAATATGGAGAGAGTTTTTCTCGAATAACTTTCGAATTAGTCAAGATAGGAACAAACTAAGGGCATCATCGTGATCCTCTCGTCAATCCGCATCGAATGATATATATGTTGACCTCGAAAGGTCAAGGTCAAAGGTTGACCTCAGGTCACGTGACCTCGAGGTCATCATGTATATCATTCGATGCGTCTTGACGAGCTGAACACAATGAGACCATCCACGCGTCTGTATCTTGTTCCTGTACGGAGTTATTGGCCAAAAACCTTTGGTGACCTTTGATGACGTCACATGACCTCACAGCTGCCCAACAGCAAAACAGACCTCAAGGTAGTGAAGGTTGATCGTATATGAAGTCATGTATGGTATATGGGGCCATTCCGACCCGTTTTAGTGGTAAAAACAGGGAGTTGATTTTTCCCCCATTGACTTATAATGGGGAGGTCGCGAAATTGACCTGACCTTAGGTCACCGATATCAAAATTCCGAGATATACAAATTGTAGCTACTAATGACCTAATAACATCCTGCGACTTTCAAAGGCCTCCGACATCTACTGTAGCTCTGGCACGGTGACAAAGTTGCAAAAAAGTGACTTGAGGTTGGGTCATTCAAAGTGACCTGGTGACCTGACCTTGAAAGTTAGGAGGTTCAAACTTGCACACCATGTGTAAAATTGATAAGGGAATAGTCATACCAAATTTCGCGGCGCGTAGCGCCGCGGTTTTCCCGCTATTCGCGAAAAACCTCAGGGGGGGGGGGCGGATATCAACCCCCCCCCGTCGGTGCGCGGGTTAAAGGTAAAGCTTTGCTGGTTGAACCGTAGAGGCATTTCAAGTGGGATAACAGGTGCGTGAATCGAAGTGCCAGTGAATGAACGTTTTCGCGTGATCGCTATTTTGTCAAGTTGACCGACAATCAGAGAAATACTTAAATTATAGAGTAACGTATGTCTTTATACCTATTTTAATGTCATAAAATTTGTGTCAAGACATGAAGAAATGTTCAACACAGCCCGTCGACGTCAATATAATGTCCCAAAGGTTCTGCCGAATAATTCCAGAGCAATGTATCTGTAAGAATCTTGGATCGATGATTGATCGACCAATCTCATCAGAATTCCAAAGCACAAGTCGGCACTGTCATCATTAGTCACGCATCTGGGACAGCATTCGCTCTGCTTTGGACCAGTTAGTTTAGCTCAGACACCAGCACAGAAGCAGGAAGTACAGCTTATAGAACTACCATCAGCATGAAATAAAGACGTTGTGAAGGCGTAAGGGAAAAATACAAGGAAGAATAAAGATCAAGGTGGATAGACTTTCACCAGAACTCTTCTAGTCTACAAAAGAAAGGCTAAGAAGAAAAGAAAACAGACCGACTACTACAGGCCCCGTCTCCACAGTGCGAAAGGTACGGGGGTGCAGCATCCAAACCAACAAAAGCCAGGTCGCTCTGTACCATGTATTCAGGTATGGTTAGTGAAAAGCATACCCTGCGTACAAAACCAACTGATCTACAACATAACTGTGCAAATGCGCTCAACGCGAGCAACAAAAAACGGTCAGCTTCAGCTGCGAGGCTGCTATGCAGGACAACGAAGAACATGCAGGGCGTAGGTGCGAGCGATGCCCCGCGCCGTCTCTGGCGGTGCTGCCATCTAGCGGCCGCCGGGCGCACTTCTAGTTGCCGGCCGGCTCACCCGCACGCCCTGGCCGGCCGGCCGGCCGGTGGAGGGTGGGACCGGGGTGGGGCAGGGTCGGGAGCGAGGGGCGGGCGGGGCTGGCAGCCAGCCGGTGCCATGAAAGACGTTTAGACGGCAGTGCAGCACGCTAGTTTACCTCCTCAGCGGGGGCGGGCGCCGCGTCGCCTCCCTCTTTCTTCTCCTCCGCGGGCGCTGCAGGCTCCTCGGCCTGGAAACACAGGAACCGACCGGCGTCAGCTCCCTGAGCCAACACACCGGCAAAACCAGGGGAGGGGAGAAACTTGGCAACCCGTTACCCTCATTGCGCAAGGTCATGACTCAGAATCACAAGGCAACAGCTTTCAATGTAAACCGTAACGCTGAAGGTAAACTGTAGCTGAGAGCAAAAGCTCCAGCGAGCTGCCAGTTCCATATGAGCTAAGTGAGACTGAAGCAGGGGCGGGTGGTGGCCTGTAACCCACCTTAGGCTCCTCGGTGGCAGCGGGGGTCTCCTCGGCGGCTTCAGCCGGCTTCTCCTCCGGCACGGCGTCGGCGGCGACCTTAGTCTGAGGGGCAGAGAGGGGGAGGAGGAGGTCAGACACGGACGGGAGCAGAGAGAGAGGGATGGTCAGACACGGGAGAGGTACTGAGTGAGCTAGGCCAGGCACGGGACACAGAGGGAGGAGACGGTCATATATGGGGTAGAGAGGGAGAGATTCAGAAATATGGGGCGGAACACGGGAGAAGGGAGGTTGCCAAAAATAAATGAGTCACGCAGTCACCATGGGTGGCCAGGAGCTGCTGTCCGTATCGGTGAGAAGTGTTCTATCACCCACTGTCAGACAGTCGAACTCACGGTCAAGACTGGCTCAAAGTTCCGTGAATGTCAGACGGTGCCGGCACCGTCACGCTCAGACAGACGGCCTCTCCGTCAGACACTCCGTCAGCATCAGTCAGACATTCCGTCATCGTCCGTCAGCCGCTCAGTCAACCGCACGCCGGTGGCCAGCTGGCTCGCACCTCCCTTCCGGTCAAGAAAAACTCCCGGAAGGTGGCTGACACTGACACGGCAGCGGAGGCGGCGGCGGCGGCACAGGACCGGGCTATAAATACCAACCCGTCGTCTGCCAATGAAGCGGGTCGGTCCGGCGGACAGCCAGACATACAAACACGCTGCGATCCGCCTCCATTCCAGACAGGCCGCATACGGAGGGCCTTCATGTCCGGTTCCCTGAATTGTCCGATCCCTATCGGGGCGCTCGGACATGCCATGGGGGCGCGCGCCGCTCGGACATGCCGCCCACCGCCTGACGCCAGAACAGTGCCTGTGGATCACACGCCCCCCCCCCGTGACGGGAGGGCGCCGGTATCTGTCTGTCTGCAGGGCGCCGCTGTCTAGACGGCCGGCCTGCAGAAATCCGAGACGCAGTAGGGCTGCCCGCCGGCTGGGACATCGGGGTCGATTCCCACCGCGGCGCCAGCCGATGTGCAACGTTGCGAGCCGCCGGCCCGCATCGGCGGAGATGGTCTGAGAAATGTGACATCACGACCCACTATTGACCGTCCCAGAGAGGGCCGGAGCCAACCAGAGGTCACTCAAAGGCAAAGTGAGGCGTCAGAAGTCACAAGGACGACGGATTGCACAGAAAAGCGAACGACTGAGCGTGGAAAAGGCGGACTGAAGGTGGAAAAGGCGGACCAAAGGATGCCCAGACACACCAAACCTTGTCTGCTGACAGTGACGACACCGGTTGAATCACCCACTCTGAATCACCGACGATCACACCTCACTTCACACCTCTCACACATCACACCGGAGCGTCTCAGCACCCCGTTATCACACACCCTGCGGCCGAGCCGAGCCAGCAGCCACCGCCAGCAGTCCTCCATGATTCCGTACGGAGTCGGTCGGTCACTCGGGAGATCCGCTCGGAGGAGAGCGGCCGACGGCTGCCGATCAGAGACTGAGCGTCTGGCGCTGGCCGCCGGCCTCAGACAGAATTAGACCGGCGCGCAGCCGCCGACCGACGGAAGGCAGTGGCGCAGCGTCACACCTGAATCACGTGCTGGCGGGCCGTCGGCGCCGGCGCGACGGCGTGGGTGGTGGCCGGAGACGGCACCGGGCGGCACAGGGGCCAGGGAGGGAAACTGGGGTGGGATGGGATACGGAGGGGGATACGCCAGGCTGACAACCCGAGGATCACTGACCGTAAACGCTGGGAGGAACGGCGTCGACCCCAGACCCTCAAATAAAAGTAGCGCGAAAGTACATATTTGCAAAAAAGACATTATATTGAAAATATTAGCCAAAAGACAAGAAAGTCTGAACCTAATTTGGGTACCGGAAGCTTAGTATAATGATACAGAAAGTACAATTATCACATTATTCAACAGCCAACCGATGTAAAATAATGACCAGAGAATCAACGGGCCGATGAATGAGGTTGATTTTCTAAAGCTCATGTAAAAAGGGTAATTATCAAATCAGAACTTAACAGCTGCAGGCAAATCCACCCGAAAAAAAATAACAGACTGAACGAATCCCATGAAAAGCCGTTAGACCAAAGCTAAAAACCAAAGCCGAGGCCACTGCTGCAGTGGATCTATCGACCCAGCAAGCTCACGGATACCCCTCGTTTAGAGAGATTCCTGACCTGAACCCTCCTCCGACCCCTACTGGCCCGGGTCGTGTCACAGGTCAGGTCAGGTCAGGTCAGGTCACAGAGCTGACCGCTCTCACCTCGGCGGGGTCCGACATGGCGTCTGTTGACTGAGTGAGGCAGCGGGGGGCGACTGAGAGCGGTACGGCGCCGGTGTGGAGCGGGACTGAGGACGGCAGCGGGCGGCGGCCGCCTTTTAAGGGCTCCCTCCCACCGTCCGCCCCCGGCGGCCGGCCCGGCCCCCTCGGCGGCCGCCACAGTACACAGACGGCCGCAGTCCGCCGGCCCCGCCCTGCCTGTCCTCACCAGACCGCTGGCAGTTTCTCACAGACCGAACGGGGGGCTCGGCTGAAGTTCTAAACCAGCGCGGAGCGTCGCTTCGAACTGATGCACCACAGAAGTAAAGAGCATTGAAACGCTAGACTCCGTCGAAAACTGTCATAATCGGATATCATCCATTTGCACTCAAGCTATTGCAATCGAATATCAAACAAGTTTGTTTTTGTTGGGCGAAAATTGTGTGGAGAGCCAGAATATGATCTGAGCGTGGCACTAGGAAGGGGAAAAATGCAACTATCAAAACTGATGCTTAAAAAGATATCGCACTGATCATAAAAGACGCAGCATTCTATTTCAGGTTTTGACAGTGCGTAGGAAATAGGAATGTTCTATGGATCAAATTACAGCTTGCTTCTATACCTTATGTACTTAACATGAGCTCACAATGTGAGAATGTGTAAAGCACTCAGCGAAGACATGATATGCCGACAGGACTTTTTGCGCCTTCCGTCAAGAATGCAAAGCACATGAAGGCACGGCAATAAAAGTATGGCATGACAGTCGCAGTCTGATGTAACCCCTTCAGAAAGCGTCATGCATTTCTTATGAATCGTTCCGCAGAGCCGACAACGGAATGCCAAGTTATAAACGAATGCTTGCATCAAACAAACCCTATAACCAAACACAGTAGCACATAAGGCTCGTCGAGACATACGTTCCACGGATGGTGGTGGGACGCTAAATTGACTGCCTGTTAAATGTCTAATTTGGAATGTAACCCACACTGAACAGCGGCACGCCATTAAAAGCGGGCAATATGGGTGGGTTAGGTCAGCACCCAGTTCAAAGTTCAAAGTATTAAACCCATTAATGTGGCAAGGCAAGCTAACATGGGCTGGTTCTAACCATATACAAAGGAAGGATGGGGATAGAAAAGAGCTGCAGCCGCATTCCAGGAAATAAAACAGCAGTTCTATCATAAGAATATTGGGCACACCACTAAGATCAAAACAGCTCTACAAAAGCGATCCTCAGACAACACAGAACGTAGCGCCCATGTCTGAGCTCAGTGCTCAGTGCTGCCCATGTCTGCCCCCATCTCCACTTATCCGCCAATGGGCGGGTGCGGCGTATAGACACGTCGGCGTATCAGTCGTGTGTCACCTGATGTCAAACATACTGACCGACCAGTGTCGACAGATGGACGACGCGCGGCCACCGGCGTGGGCGGGGCGCGCCCACACTTCAAACCGTGCCCGCCGCCGGGCGAGAAGTCATCCATCAATTCAGAGTCGGATGGACGGAGACACAGACGGGCAGACGGATAGATATCGCCCTATCACGCGTGTCTCAACATCCGCGGCGGAATGTGAGCAGCTCCGACCGGTGCTGTGACAGTCGGTGACGCCGTGACGCTGCCCGTGACGGGCCAGCCGGATCCCAGTCTGCGTCCGGTACCGTCCGAAATGTCACCGGGTGCTGAACTCAGCGCCGACCTTCAGCGACCTCGGGGATGGGGCGACGGAGGGGCAAGTGACCTGCTCGAACTTAGCCGAGAGGAGAGTGGTAGTTTTTTTTTAGACAGAGCGAGATAGTATACCTACGGGATGGGCAGCAGAGGGAATGGGGCAAGTCGAGACATGAGAAGGGTGCTGGGGCAAAGACCAGACTGTGCAAGATAAGTGATCGGTAAACATGCAATTATTCAGGTCCATGACCTTTCAGCATCACTCCGGCTGACAATGAGCCATTCACGTCTGCTATCTGACTTGCATCCGATTTCTAGCTCATCCATTACAAATCTGCTCGAAAGGAAAACTGCAAAGATTGCAAGTCAAACGTAAGTGGGACATCTGTTTGTTTACAAAAGGCCATCCGTTCCGGCTACCGATATCCCTCTTATCTTGGAGTTACATACCAGAACGGCAGACACGGTTTTTCGAACGGCTTATCTCCGAACAAATACCAGTCATCGACGTCGAGGAATAGAATCGCGGCGGCGGTTACATATTTCCTATACCGAATACGGAAACTCTATAGATAACAGTATCGATGATGAGAAGCATACATAGCATTACGCACGATGGGCCACGAGGACAAAGACGAAAAGAGGAACAAAAATGGTATGGTCAAACGGACACCGACCACAACGTAAGAAACTTTGAGTGGCTGTACGAGTTGAGATGGAAGTCGACGAGACCTAATCCATCTCGAGCATTAGTGTCTGCTCAGTTTATAAATAGCACCCCGTCGTTACAGGACGAGACAGAAGTGGGTATGGCGAGACGATCCGTCAAGAGATGATCCGTCATGAAAAAGGCCCAGGAACGGCACTGGAGAAAGGATAGACAGAGCGGGAAACGGGAAGACTCACAGAAAATGAGCCGGTCATTCGCAGAAGACGGTAAACACCTTTTTATAAACGCTCCAAAACTAAAATCGCTCTTGCACTGCATTCATTTTCTACTAAACTTTCAGAGGTCCTTTGTGGTGTCTTAAAAATTTGGCTTATAGTAAAATAATAATGTCAATAAAAAGCAAGACGCAAAAAAAAATGTAACGATACGACAACAAAACCCGATATCCAGTTTAGCTTTCATCACAAATCATTACGCGACTGCGCAAAT